AGCGGAAAACCTTCTACGATTAAAAAAAACTACGTTCGTTCGATAAAAGTGATTTCAGTAAGAAAGCCGATTTGTAAATCACTTTAACTTTTGATTAAGCGAGATGCAGCAAAGATATAAATGCAGTTTGCAGTTATGGTTCAAATCAGATAGTAGGCGCAAACTGAAATATGATATTCGTACGAAAAAACTGATTTACGTCTAAATGCTGATTCGTAAATCACTTGATTAAGCGAGATGCAGTTAAAGCAAGGATATAAAGGCAGTTTGCAGTTATGATAGAAATCAAAATGTAAACGTAAACTGAAATATGATGATCGTATGATAAAACGGATTTACGTCTAAACGCCGATTCGGAAAGTGCAAAGCTTGAAACCCAATCGTATATACGCAGAAAGCAGTAAGCTTTTGAGGAGGTTTGCAGTAAAGATAATATGCTCAAAGTAAATACAAACCGAGATTTAGAGTGGTTCGGTCAATCTTGACCTACATCCACTTTTGGCTTCCTCCATCGACGAGGTCACCGATGTCCACTAGAGGCCTTCCTTCAATAGGTGAAGGCCAACCGTCCTTTTATAGTTTCACTCCTTTTGACGGGCTTAGGAGACAACCCTTACAGAATTTTCTCTCCTCTCTTTAAAGATCAGAACTTGGAAGAAAAGAGGAAGAAGAACTTTTATCTTTTACAACAATTTTGAGCTCTAAAAATCACAGAATAAGATCATGATTTCGGTGTGTTTGAGTGCCCTTTCAGTGCTGAAAGGGTGGGGTATTTATAGGCCCCAACCCAGTTTGAATTCCGAGCTCAAAACTGTCAATTCCCGGAATTCCGGGATCTAGCGGTTGCACCGCTTGGCAGAGCTCGAAGACTAAGCCTCTGGGCGGTGCCACCTCCTGTCAGGGGCGGTTGCACCGCCCAATCTCACTCGGAGACTGAGCCTAGGCAGTGCCACCTCCTGGCTGGGGCGTTTCAACCGCCTGGCAGAAATCAGGGTCCGAATGGGTTGATCCATTCGGCCCAATTTGGGTTTTTCAGGGGCCCAATTGCCCCAAGATTAAGTTAATGGGATCACCTCCCATTTCCAACTTAATCATTGTGCTAACTATGATATTTCCTAAGACATTTACTGCAACTTGCTCCAGTGCGTCAATCGCTTCTTCCGGCGAACTTCCGTCGATCATCCGATGAACTCTCGGTGATGCTCCTGCGGACTTCCGACAAACTCCTAGACTTGCGACGATCCACTTGGCGAGTTCCGACGAGCTTCTTTGGAAAGCTCATGCACTTCTTGGATTTGTTCCCGCAGAACCTCCGACGACTGTCCGAACTTCCGTCGAACTCTCGAACTCCCAACGTGATCTTTGTCTTGACTCCGGCATAACTCCTGCTGCATATCTTACTTTCATCGTAGTTAATCCTGCACACTTATCTCAACATATAGATTAGATAACAAATGATAATTAACTTCATCATCAAAATCCGAGATTAATATTTTTTATCTCTCATAATTTTGACATCAATTGTAATTTTATTTTTTATTCAAATTAACAGTTACTATTTACACTAAATTAAATTTAGAGAATATAAACCCAGGCCTTTGCAAATTTCTAGTATTAAGAACCTAACTATAATTCATGTTGGGCAAATTAGTAAATAGCACTGTAACTATTCTTCGTTTACTGGATGACATATCCACTACTCATTTTTACACAATGACATCCTTTTTTGATTGGACAAAAATATCCTCATTTTTTTATTAAATTATATTGAAATCTATGCAAAATTCATGATTTGATTTTTTTTTTTTTTTTTTTGTTAATCTAGTTTGATTCACCTCCTTCTCCTTTACCCCTCCACCTTCACCTCCTCTTCTTTCTCTTCTCCTCCTTCCCTTTAATCCCCCACCCTCATTCTACCTCCATCTTCTCTTCATCGACCTCCTTCTCCACAGTTGCTTCACTTTTACTCCCATCCTCATCTCCTTTGCCTTCTCATAATTTATCGAAAAAAATCATTACATTCGAGTTACACTTATTTACATAACATATTAAAAGATATTTTAATTTTTATATAAAATTATTCTAAATTGACTAAAAGACTAAGAATATATCAATTTTATGTAAAATTATTTTAAATTTAACATAAAACTAATCATAAAATCCTATAGTTCCTATCTCCTATTTAGTCATAGTCATACTTGAAGTTTAACTAAGTTAAATTTGATCGGTTAGCCTATTTTTAAATTAATATTTTTTAGATAATTTTAAGATAATTAATTAACAAAACTTGAGAATTCTATTAGAATATGATTTCAACAAAATTAATATAGATTTTTATTTTAAGATAACTTTAGGATAATTTTATATAAAAAATAATAATTTTTAAAAATATATTTTGTGAATGAGTGTAATTAAAACATAATTTGATTGTAACTCAAGTATAATAATTTTTTAAAAAAAATTAAGAGGAGAAAAAAGTGGAGGAGGAACGGAGTAGTGATAAATAAGTAAAAGACAAAAAGAGAAAGAGAGAAGAGGAGGAAGAGGAAGATACAAGAGGATAATAGAATGTAAAATAAGAGATGAGAAAACTAAGGGGGAGGAGGAGGCAAAGGGGGAGATCGAGTGAAAGGAAGGGTACAGAGAGGATGATTGAGCAAATTAATTTATTGGTCTGAACAAGTTTATTGATTAAATTAATTTAAAAATTTTTAAAAATAAAAATAAATTTGATATTTTTCAAAAAAAAAAGCGTCATTGGGAAAAAAAATGAATAGTGGGAGCGTCGTCCAAAGGTACTATTTGGTAAATTGCCAATGATTCTACGGTCGACTTAAGAGACGACTAAGGTTACGATGACGCTATGGAAGCCGTTTCGGAATCTGAACCTGCCAATGTTTTCCGTCGCCCATTCACCGAGCGCCGGATTAGGTCGTCGTAAATTAAATCGTTGCGTGATGCGGCGACTTAAAAAACCTTCTCGGCCTAGGTTTTGAAGTGGGTCGTCTCTAGTGTGGCGTGATTTCGTTGCAGGCGCAATCCTCCTGCTGCGACGGCCTTTATTTTCGCCCTCCGTGGATCCTTCTCAATTGGGGTTCCGGTCCCATTTCTTGTTGTTGCGATCGCCTTGTGTTCGTCGTTGGGATGATGCTCGGTAATGGGTACGCGTCGTCGCCTGCGTCGCGGCGGAGGAGGGGGAGGCCGAGGGGTGGCGGAGGCAGCGGCTATGGATTCTGGCAGCCGCAGTCGCTCCATCATCATCAGCAGCAGGAGATAAGTCCGGTTGTTCCCCCGTGCACTGAGTTCGACATGGCCTACTTCCGGGCCTACTCGCACATCGGAGTCCACGAAGAGATGCTTAAGGTCACCCTCATCTCTATCCTCTTCCGTTTATTCAATGTGCTTGTTGTGGTCTTGCTTTAGATATGATCTCGTGCTTATGGAACCATTATTTCGTAGGAATCAAAAGAACATTTTCTTTCAATATTGCCTTTCTTTTCCTCCACATCGTCCGGTGTTCCATCAACCAATAGTAATTTGCGTATCGTTTCTGATATTCACCCGTATTTATGATTTTTTTCCTTTAACTTCTATGATTTCTGTTTTTTATGTGGATGAGAAAGTATGCTGGTTGATCTGTTCACCACACACGAGTGAATTACGAGCTGGAAGTAGACTATTAAGGATCTTCTTTGCGAATTTTATGGTGGAATGCTTATTGTGTTAGTACTTGATGTTCATATGGTGTTTCTTTGTGACCTCTGTATATGTTTCATTAGAAGTGATTACTGTGAGCCATTTCACAATATTATCCATCTTCCTGGAGTTGAAAATTGATTATATATTCAGGCCATACTTTTATGTCAAAATATGCATTTACAGTACTCATTCCTGTTCCTTCTGCCATTGGCCTTCTTGAGCTAGTTCCAGTTTTTTTTTCCTTTCTTTTTTTTAAATAGACAACATCTAAGATCCTATTCCATGAAATGTGGGTTAAAGAGTAGAAAAGAAAGTAGTTTTTTCTTCTAATTTTCTGAAATACTTTTAGGTAGCCTTCTGTTGAGTCAAACGACCTTTGGTAATTTTGCAAATGTAGGACAAGTAATTCCTATACGAACAAGTGCATCAGAGGCAAATAAAATATAATTTTCCTATGATTCAGTAGTTGTAGAATATAAAACAAAAGATTTTAGATAGTATAAATAAAAAAATAATTATCAGATTAACTTTGGCCCGTAGATTTAACTGTCAGGGATGTCTTGTACCACTAACACATAATATGAGAAAAAAAAATTCATTGTTACCATTCATTCATTGATCTATTTATGTCCCAATTATGATCCCCTTTTCTTTTATCTAAACTCTAAGTACAAGAAAAAAAGAAAAGAAAGCAAAAGTAAGAAAATGCTGCAATTATGTCAGGACAAATAATCATTTATTCCTTTATTCTCTGAGGAAGGTAAATTTTTAGATATGTTTTGGCAATTTTAATATTATATTTGATCGATATATTATAATTTTATACATTCTTTAAGTAAGAAGAAACTTTCTTGCGAGGTATGAAATCTTCAACCAAATCCAATACTTACCACCTTTTTCATTAGAATGTTCAACTAGAATGTTAGATGTCTACCAGTCTTTTATTTGCCTTGCCTTTTTCTTTTCCTTTGGCGATTTTGTAATTTAGTGTAGGATCATGGAAGTTGTTGCTATTTGGCAACATATGACATTGGTAAAACACCCCTTAAACTAATAAACTTTATTCCAATGATAAATAAGTTAAAATGGTCTGATGTAATCTACTGTGCCTATATTTATGTGATAGCAAAACATGAAATATTGCAGTAGTCATCATTCTTTGAAGTCATCATTAATGACACGATAAAGTATAAGTTTCCCTTTTGCTTCAGTCAAGAATCCCATTTGTACAAATTGCAGTCTTTAAAGACAAAATTTAATGGTAGACAAGTTGCAATCTTGTGATAGATCTTAAAAGTAATTCTGTAGAATTTGTAGCTATACCATTATTGACTTTACTATTTTGTATTAGAGTTTTAAGTATTTTATACTGCATGGTGGTCTCAGAGTCTGTTGTACCTGTACTTGTCTTCTTCTATCCTGTTTGTAGCATGCTGATAGCAATGCTGGCAAGGGTTGCAAACGTTTCTTCTGATTTTGGCAGTCTGAACTGCTAGATATAAGCAGTTAAAGATCACGTTGTAATGTTTCAACTGAAATTATTAAGAAAATTAAAAATATAGAATATAATTGACAATTGAAATCTTTGTGATGTAGTGCAATCTTTATTTTCTTTAAAAATTTGAAAAACAAAAGAAGGAAAAGGGAAATGTGAAAAAAAAAAGGGAAAAGGAGAGAACTTCCGGACTTGTTATGGTTCAAAGAGAGAACACCCAGACTGAGGGCCTTGCACCTTTGCGTGTCTTGTATGTGCACAGGAAATTATACTATTCAGAAAAGATAAGTGGCCTAGTACCACTCACCTATATTATGTGAGAACTAAACTTTTATTCAGTTTATAATTTGTTATAGATCCCAACTACAAGAATAAAAAGGAACACTTACAAAAATGAGGAAGAATAACATAACATCCTATATATCAAAGCATATCATTCATTATAATTTTTTTTGAAGAAAATAAAATTTCAGATTTGAGTTGAAGAATAATTTTTCTTTTGATGATATATCTCTTTGATATGTTATAATTCATCAAAGAAGGAACTCTCTTTTGAAGATGAAATCTTCCTTCTTGATGCTGGACCATATTAATTACTTCCTATTTGAATAAAATTTTTATTAGCTAAGAATGTCTGTTGCAATTTTTGTAAGTTGCCACATGGCAGCATATGCTATAATCCTATATTTGTTTCAAATATTGTCCAAGATAAAAAAGAAACCAAACAAAACTAATAAGATAATGATAGGTTTGATTGAAGATCTCAAGGAAAAAGGAAGATTTTATCTCCAGATATCATAAGAAAAATTATTTTCATGAAAGAAGGAAAGTTGTAACACATTGTTTGTCTTGATTTATGAGATGTTATTATATTCATTCCCATTTTTGTAGTTTTTCTGTTTATTCTTGCACTTGGGATCTATAAATAGGACAAATTATGGATTAAATTTTAGTTTTTCACATATCATGTGTGAGTGGGCAAAGTCACATATCTTTTTGATGGTACGGTTCCATCGTCCACATGCAAGATGCATGTGACCTTCATCACATGGAATTTTTCTTCACAAGCCATAGTTAGTATGATAGTTATCCCTTTCTTTTCTCAATTATTTTCTCATTATTTGTTTTCTTTCGTCTCTCGTTCCCTTACTATATTTTCAAATAAAGAAGATCAGAGCTTGTCCTACATTAGATTAATCCGATGTAGTATAAGTTATAACTTTTTATTTGGGAATACAAGAAGAGAACGAGAGAGAAGATAAGAACATAAGATATTATAGGAAAAAGAGATAGCTACCAGACTCGTCTTGATTTGTGGAGAAAACACCAAGGATGAAGACCTCACACCTCCACATCTTGTACTTGGATGATGGAATCATGTAAGTGAAAAAGAATTTTGTTTCACTCACGCATGATGTAAGAAACATTAAATTTTTATTAATTTCATCATTTGTGATCTCATCACAAACAACCCTTTTGCCTTTTTATAGATCCTAGGTACAAGAATAGAAAAGAATAATATAATAAAATCCCATAATATAGGCATATAATTCATTTTAACTTCTCTGTAGAAAATAAAATTTCGGATTTGTTATGAAGAATAATTTCTCTTTTGATGCTATCTCTCTTGGATATATTTCCATTTCTGCTTAAATGGTACATATCCGTACTAAGATTTAGGAGGAAGTGGAAGAAGAAGAGAAAGGAAGAATAGGAGGCATTGTAGGAAAAGGAGGAAGAGGAAGAAGCAGAAGAGGAAGGAGGAAGAGGAAGAGCAAGAGGAGGGAAGAGGAAAAGGAGGAAGCATATCTGTTGGCATCGTACAACGAGCAGCAGGTGGCAACATGTGGTGAACACACAAAAGGAGTTCGCATTTGGACAAAGAGGGTTTGCTAAAGAGTTTTAATTATATATATATATATATATATATATATATATATATATTCTTAAGGGTTTGGAGTTGACTGCTTGAAATGGGGGCGATTAGCATATCAATTCATGCCTGGATTGGCAGTCCATGATTTGGTTGTTAAGGACGAGATTCAAATACCAGCGGAATCAGTATGCACTGGCCAGTATTTTCTGAGGAAGGACCAATTTTGGGCCATATAACACAGTACCGGTGGGTATTCATTTTTGATTTTTTTTCAATGATACTACCAAATGGTATTACTGGTATTTTACTGGCTTGAAAGGTCTGTAAGTTAAGTGCCCAAGTGATAACCTGCCTCAATTAGGTTTTCTTTAAAGGATAGGAAATGCTTACTATCTGAAGTTTCGGTACTACAATAAGAACTCATGCTTGTTTTTGATGTCTCGTCCATCAGTTTTAGTTTTTAAATCTGTTAGCCTTTGTGTTGCTTTTGGTTGAATGTACCTATGAGTATTAAGTTTTCTGTTGTTGTGCATAATTGTTGGTGGCATCCCCATCCACCTGACCCATTGAACTTCGAGACTTTTGAGGATTTTTTTTTTGTGGTTCTGTCTCACAGATTAAAAAAAAAAAAGATCGGGGCAATTGCATATGTACTTTTTAAAATTTTTGGGGTTCACTATGTGCCTTCCTAAACAGGGAACTGTTAGGATCGAGAGCACTAAGAGGGGGGGGGGTGAATTAGTGCAGCGAAAATCTTTCAGCGATTAAAAACTAAAGCTGCGTTCTTTCGATAAAAACTCTTTTGATGCAAAAGCTGATTCTAAGATTACTTATGATTAAGTGCAGTTTACGTTTAAACACAGTTAGCGTCTAAACGCAGTTTGCGTCTAAATGCAGATTGCGTCTAAACTCAGATTGCGTTTAAGCGCAGTTTGCGTCTAAGCGTAGTTTGCGCCTAAGCGCAGTTTGCGTCTAAACACAGTTTGCGTCTAAACGCAGTTTGCGTCTAAACACAGTTTGCATCTAAGCGCAGTTTGCATCTAAGCGTAGTTGGCGTTTAAGCGCAGTTTACGTCTAAGCGCAGTTTATGTCTAAACGCAGTTTGCATCTAAACACAGTTTACGTCTAAACACAGTTTACGTCTAAACGCAGTTTGCGTCTAAACGCAGTTGGCGTCTAAGCGCAGATGACAGTTTGCAGTTATAAATGGAATCAAGACGTAAACGTAAACTGCACAGAAACTCGTTCGTAAAAGCGCAGAAGACAGTTTGTAGTTATAAATGGAATCAAGACGTAAACGTAAACTGCACAGAAACTCGTTCGTAAAAGCGCAGAAGACAGTTCGCAGTTATAAACAGATTCAAGACGTAAATGTAAGCTGCAATGTAAAGATCGTATGAAAACA